TTGGGTCGTGGGCTAATCCTATGCATCCATCTTCCTCGCTAGCAACAATGTGAATGCTACACATCATGTAAAGGGGGAACTATCGCACAAGAACGAAACGAACGTCACAAGTCTCACATGGCTACCTAGGTGCTCAATCATTCGTTCTAACTTCCTAAACTCGATGCATAGGCAACTGTGAAAGCAAGTAACCGATTCATAACATCTATCGGTTCACAGACACATGAGAAATGAACCTATGCACAAACCTAATACATGTCTCAGTCGTCATCATAGGTTGCACATAATCACAATCAAATCATCCATAGAGCACGCTAATACCCACGAGATTCAAAATAAATCACCACAAGATGCCACTATGATCATAACATTCAAAATCACACCAAACATTCACACACTCATGCATAATAGACTACCCCCCCCCCCCACACACACACACTTAAGCTCGACATTTCCCTTAATGGCGTAAAAGAAGGGGATAGAACGATGTTACCGGTCAAGTTGTGAATGGTTGTGCTCGGGAGCGGAGGGCGGGTGAGCTCCGGAAGAGCGTGGTCACGTCCAAAACACCACCAAAATCTCCTCAATGGTCTTCTTATTGGAGCGGAAAGCAAACAAACTGATGGTAGATGGGTTGCCTCCGACCAAGCACTTCTTTAACGTTGTGGGCCGGAAAGTTTCTCCTCAAGTTTAGGTCCACCCAAGAACCTCCTTGAAGTTAAGGTTATCGTTGGCGAGGTGATGTCTCAAGTCACACGCATTGGACGAGTCCATGATTGAGGGCTCGTGAACTTGAGTGGCTTTGAGGCTCCACCCATGAGACCTCTTCTTCATTCCTTCTTCTTTCTTCTCTTTGTCTCATACCATGTATTGCAAACTCGATTGGTTTCCATCGCATCCAACAAGAGGGATCGCCGATGGTTCGGCCTTGGCTTGGCAAAGAGTCGCAAATGGGTCCTTCTCCAAAATACATCGAGGTCAGGTGGAAAGCTTCATAGCCCTCGTAACTTGTGGATGCTTCATCCACCTCGACCTCGTCCTCATCTTGGACTCCACTTGAACCTTCTTTTTCTTCTTCAACCTCCCTTACTTCTTCATCAATTTCCTCCCTTTGGGAACACTCAAGATATTCTTCCTCTTTAATGCTTTCTTACTCCTCTTCAACTCTTCTTTCCTCATCTTTCCTCGCTCTTCCGCAAGCAAGCATTGAATAGCGAGTCTCCAAGCTATGTCTTCAATTGACTCGAACTCATCTCCTCATTGAGAACTACTTCCTCTTCAAGGCTTGGGGTAAAATGTGGAAGAGTGGTGGCTTCCTCAAGAGGACATTCGAAGTCTCGAGCATCACGGTGGCCATCCGTGACAACTTCCGACCATTCCAATTCATCCTCGAGGCTTTCTTCTTCATCTTCCTTTTTGTCAACCTCTTCTTTCTCCTTCCCTTTCATGTCTTCAAGCACGGTTTGGAGGGCAAGGTGTCATGCAAGATCATAGAAAGGATTATCTTGCTCCTCCACACTCGTGTCTTGGTCTTCAAAGTTGCTTTCGAGAAGGGGAAAGTGATGGGAGTCATCAATGCAACCTTCTTGTTCATCCTCACCACGAGAGCTCTCCGGGGTGAGTTCTTGTTGCTCCACATGGTTGTCATTGCTCGCCACTTCAACCTCCTCTTTCTCCTCCTATAATGAGAGACGATAGCTATCACAAGCTCGTTCCACTTTCTCTTCCAATAATGAGAGGCGATGGCTAGTACAAGATTGTGTCACCTTCTCTTCTAGTGTCAAACCTGGAGGAGGGAGGGGTTGGAAATCCGTGTTGGAGCTTGTTCTTGCAAAATTCTCCACGGCAAGCTCCAACTTGGACTTCGCTTCGGGTTGTGGGAGATTCAAGTTCGAGCACCCTTCATTCGTGCCTCGAGCAAACCGCTACATTATGAGCTCCAATTGGCTCTTTAGCTCCGGTTGTGGAGTGGCACATGGTCTTGAAGATTGTCCCATGAAAGCTTCCATTGCCAACTCCAACTCGGATTTCTCCTCGACTTGAGGAGGGAAGTTTTCTTGATATGGGAAAGCCTCTTCATATCTCAAATGGTATGGTTGTTATTCTTGGAAGGGGGGTTGGTAATAGAACCCGGATCCTTGGCTTCCCCCTTCTTCTTCACTCCATGAAGCTCCGGGGTACCCCCCATTCGGGTGGTTGTTGATAGCCCCCCCCCCCCACACCCCTATTGTAGAAGCCATTGGGATCCATAATTCATAACCTACACAAACAAAAAAACAAAAAGAAAATCAAACAAACACAAACCACCCTTCAAGACGAAGAGTGGGTAAACAAAACACAACACAAAACATAATACACAAACAAAAAGGCAAGATTTAAAATGCTAGAGTAACACTAAGCGACCTTTTCAAAATAATGGACCGCGGTTCCCCGGCAACGGCGCCAAAAATTTGACTCGCAAGAAACTAAACTACAAATTAATTCCGACTAGAGTCCAAGTTTTTAAACTCTAGCCGGGTGCAGTATAGAGAAAGTATTTAAATTGTCAACCCGGGCCGGTCCATGTACCCCTACTTCAATTGCTTAAGTTGTTATCTAGCAAAACGGTTTTGGGTTTAAAACTATTAAAACTACAAATGAAAACAAGCAAGGAAAGTAAATAAAGGAAAACTCTAACTAAGGGAGCTTCACACAGGAGTTGCTTCCCCCTAACTAGCTATCGTGACTCGTTGGATTGAAACGATTGCTATGCGCAAGGTAACCGCGAACCACAGAGGGATGCATATATGGTCGTAGACCACAATCTCAATTGCTAAACCGAGGTAAACATTATAGGCCGTGTCTCTCGACCCTCTCGGTTTAGGCAATCGATAGTTGACTTACTCCCTTACTCAACTCAAGGGTCGGATGGTTTAGTCATGTTAACCAATTTGCTTAATTCAACGTTGAGGTTTGCCCTAAATTAATCTATTTAGGTGGCTAAAGAGATTACAATCAATTTATGAGATATTTAAGCGATTACAATCAATTTATGAGCCATATTCATAACATTAGAATATTTATCATACACTTCAGATAGAGACTGATTAGAATTCACCACACCTTCTAGTAGTATAAAAATAGCTATCTTTTTCCCTAAATAATGCATGGCATGCACACACTTTAAATTGTAAAATGTATATAATTATACTAATAATTGTACTTGCATACATTTTAACGAATAAATTGAATCACTATTTGGTTGTTTGGATGACTCTCTGCATAATGTATTTCTTTGATGCATAAAACTACACAAAAATAGCCGAAAAAAATATTTAGAATAAATAATATCAGCAAAAAAGTTGACAATGACAGACTTCTAACATCAACATGAAAACCTAATTATTTCTCTTTGCAAAACCAATATTTATGATTAAAAAATTCTATAAGTATTTCATGTTACGCCTCCAGAATTCACTTCTCTATTCTCAAATCTATTAATTTCTAAATGAAACCTTATGAGCACTACGTAGTTGATATATTCAAGCTTCTTTATTCTCAAATCTGTTAATTTCTAAAGGATCCCTATGAGCACTACATAATTGGTAACTTGGTCTATTTTGATACAGAGCACAACGGATCTAGCTTAACCCTACCAATCAGAAGCAAGCATCCCTATTTAGGAAGAACCGAACAGTGGGGAAGAAAGCAACAATGGAAGGACAATACAATCTTGGAAAACACACAGCTTGTAGTTAGGGATAGCAATTTCGACTTGACCCATTTTACCCGTCCTGTTTGACCTTTTTTTGTGGTGGTGGGGGGTGGGGGATGGAATACATGCCTTGTACATGTAAGTGGGACGGGGTGGACATGGAGAGTGTCCTCGACCGGTTTTGCCCTGACCCCGTCCCTTTTTTGACTCGTTCTTGCTTAAATCACATGTGATTTTACTCAAACTACTTAGCATTTTACTTTTATTATCTAGCTATAATAAAATTGTAAATAGGTGAGAACCTCAATTTTGCGAATAATTTAACTATATTAATCATGCTATAGTTTGTTTCTTGATTTTTAAGGAAAAAATGAATATTTTTAAAATTTCACATTTAAATTATATACCCATTTGGGTCGTCCTGCCCCAACCCAATCTCCATGATAAATTACTCGATCGGAATTCAACCTACCAAGAAACGAATATGTGTATCAAGATAACCGTCCCGACTTGCCTTACTGTTATTCCTACTTGTATTCTTGTAAGTATAATATTTATAACAATATGTATATACGGTTCTGCATCCTTCATTGAATTGAACCGACAAACGTAAAGCCTAGGGCCACTCTGTAGTCCCTCCTTTTTATGGTCATGTTATTTAAATTTGTGTTTTCACCTTAAGGCCCCTCCAATATCTGTGCATAAGCCAGAAAAATTAGAATTGGTGGGGTTCTCAAGCGGAACCTCATAATTATGGTCTAGATACCACATGATGCATGCAATGAAGTTAGTTGGGTCTACGCCCTTGTCTTTTGATTTTTCTTTCTAATAATTGGTATAACACATTTTAAGGGTGGCTCTAGAGCTGCCTAAGTGTGATCGATCATTTGGATTATGTGTAAAGGTTAATTTGTTTAATATATTACATATATGAGCCTATCTTATGAGTATTTGTTAGAGTAATCATATGGTGGACAAAAAAATTTTTGTTAGGCCTTTTTCATGGGGAATTCCAATCGATAAAAGGTGCAAGAAAAGCAGCAAAACTGAGGCGAAAATATCATTAATTAGAAGATTACTAAATACCTGCTCTTGTTCGAATCGCGTCTGATGCTTTGATCCCAAACAAAATACAAGCATAAGAATCTTAGTCAGGAAACGTGAGCCAATTTAATTACGCATTTAATTATTAACTGACTTGAAACTTGGTTTATTCATGGAATGGAGATGTTACAAAGAAGAATACAAAGAGATGACGAAATGGAAGATAGCAGCACGAGTAAAGTAATCAAAGTCGAATTTACGATCACCTAATGAGCCCCAAGCTGCGGATGCCCCATGAAGTCTTGGGCCACGACTTCTCTTTAGCCTTCATCACCAAAACCCTACCCCAAGCCACCCATCCTTCCCAAGAAACCCTCTTATCCCACGCCGTTCCCCACTCCAGCAGCAGCTTCAGACCCTTCTCCGCCGCCACCTCCGCCGCCTCGAACCGCCCTTTCGACAAGTAAACCTGCGCCAACACCAGATGCGGATCCCCTAAAAATGGGTTCTTCTCTAGACTCTTGACCAACAACTCCTCCGCCTTATCCAACTTATCATCGTTGCAATCATTATTCTGTGAGGCATTTCCACAAACAGCTTCCCAATACGTGTCCCTGGCTATGACTTGGTCGCCTGCATCCACAATTTTCGTCCATCCGTCGAAAATCGGCGGCACCACGAGTTCGATGTCTTCATCTCGTTCTTTGTCCACCGAAATTCCACCAGACCTTCTTCTTTCCTCCATGAAAATCTCTTCTTCTCGAACTAGTAGGTTGTAGATGGCTGCAATTCTTGAAATTAAGTTAACCCATAGCCCTGGCTTTCCTGCCCCTGGCCATAAAGGAGTTGCACTATTGCCCGAGAAGTCTAGTCTACCGTCCAAATTCTCGTACAGCTCGTCCTGTATATTGTTAAAATTATTATATATGTAAAGTTAAACGAATAACGTACGTACGTATTGACAACTAATTAAACGTTATGTATGATATTTTTTTTACCAAAATTTCGTCGTTTCAGCTTAAGTTATAATTTTAATTTTCTTTTATGGATATAGCTCAGGCGATTTTGACTATAATCTTAACGACCATGTGTGGATAATTTGGACATAAACATATTTACTTGAAAGCTGAAGAGCTCGTCCGCGAAATCGGCCAGCGTGAACAACAGCAGAAGCGCCACGATTCTCCGCGGCAGAGTGAACTCTTCTCCAGTCTTTATGTTCTCCACAGTCACGCCGCCTTCCGGCACGATCGAATTCAGCTTCTCCCTCCACGCCTCCGATTCCCCGCCGCCGCCGACAACGATCCCCTCCCTCGCATTTCGCAGCGAGAGTTGGGAAGCCGACAGGTGTTCGACGATTTGCCCCACCGAGTCATAACCCATCAGGATCCGGCCGAACACCAGCTTCTGCCGCGGAACCGAGCAGAAGAAGTGGACGAGCCGCTCGGCGTCCGGGCCGAGGTGGGCCCGGAGTTGGGCCCTGCTGGACTCGGTGTGCGGGAAGAGCGCGAGGCTGACGTAGGCGTTGGAGTAAGTGGAGTGGAAGAGGCCGCATCGGCAGACGGCTTCAGGGGATCCCCACAGCTTGAGCATTCGATAGGTGCCGTAGAGGTGTTCGACGAAAGTCCCGTGCTTGTGCCAGCACTCCCCCGCTCCCGCCGAGTGGAGCAAGGAGAGCAGTGAAGGCAGTTTGTCGTCGAGGGAGTTGTGTTCTGCGCGCAGGAGCGGGCGCGCTGCGGCTAAGAGGGTTTGCAGGCTGGTTTCGGATTGAAGGGTGGAAGAGGCAGAGGATAATGCATCGCGAGAAGCTGCGGGCGCCATTTGTGTTTTCTCTCCCTCCGACTCCGAGTCTGAGACGCGAATTGGAAGGGAAAATGCCGATCGATATATAATGAAATGAAACGTGTGTCTGTGTAGAGACATGCAGCTTGCCATTTGCTAGTCCATAGAAGATGTGGTGGAAAACGTGTCATTATCAATTGGGCACGTATTTTGGGTTTGTTAATAGCTCGGGTTATACGTTATAATTAATGGATAGCCTGGAATGACGAGTGAGATCTTTTGATGTTGCCTATGAGTCTTACATTACATTTACATGGGTGTGCCCAAAAGCATTTAGGGTCACAAATTATTATATTGGACTATCAATCATACCTACAATAACATATCAACCACCAACAATAATTCATATCTATCCCGCACCCCCTTCATCAGAACGTCAGAAACCCATTCTCACTAAGGGCTAGATAAAGAAGGGTAATATTTCCCTCCCTTTCCTTCAGCACCGACAGCTGAACCTTTCTTTGTAAAAATCTCATTCTCACTAATAGCTAAATAAAGAAGAGTAATATAGAGAGAACAGAATTACTTCTTTCACTTCTGTCAAATGGGAACTAAGGCTGGCTATTTGGTCCGGCCTTTTTTATTTTACCCGAAACAAGACCATATAATCCGGACCAAGACTGGATAGCAAAAAGTCTAATCTCATTTTTGGGTTTAGATTTGTGGTAAAAACGATCATACGGGATTGGACTGAAAATTGAATAAAGACCGGATAAGAGAGTCCAACACCCAAAACTTAACAACTCCTCACCATTTTAGGCCTCGGGCCACTCAAATTCCCACAAGTTCAATCTAAAATCAAGACCGAATTGGGACTAGACCGAGCCAAGACCGGATTGCATTCAATTCAATTTTTGGTCCTTATATTCCCGAAAAGACCAAACCGAGACCGAGTCAATTTGGGTCAATTTAACCGGACTGAACCATATAGCCACCTTAGTGGGAGTCGCATAGAAATCGGCTCAAGTTCGTGGGGGGATTTGAAAAGGAGAATCAAAGATCAAAAGTGGACCAGAAAAGGAAGTCACCTCGACTTCTACTGCATCCTACGTAACACACACACGACTGACAGACAGACAGATCCCTGATGGCCGAAGCAAGGCAGAAACACACGCTGATGACTAAGAGGGTTTCGCTTCTTTGAAGAAAGCTCCTTTGCTTGAGGACATCCGATAAGAAAGCTTGAGAAATTAGAGGAGAATGACGGAAGAATCCTCAGCTTTCTTACAACTGCGTTCTCATATTTATATTCAGCAAATCATAGTTACACAAACTAGGGATCTTAGCACACGAAATATTTCACATGTTTAATTACAATAATCAGCTCCACACTCTAGTCATGGGAATTAGTTTCCAAGATTATAATGTTGTTTTTCATTACCGAAAATTAAAAGATGAAAAGTGAAACTTTGTTAAAATAACCATTAAAAAAGAAAAAATTAACAAGAAGGGAAAGAATTGAAGCGGCGGAGGCGGAGGCGGAGGAAGGGAGGGAGAGGCGATTTGAAGTGGCGGAGGAAAAAGCCCCGATTTTTACAGGCGGCGTGGAGGATGGCGAGCTCAGAATCCTTAGAGGCTTCATCAATCAACAATTGAAACATCATCTTCAAGAACAATGGGAAGGACTTGATCAGGGTATAAGTATCTGGACGGGATGGCACCGATTTTTATCCTAATCAACTCACAAACAAAAGGCACGAACAGAGAGCTGTCAAGGCCGGTGGATTTCGTTTGTTTCCATTCCGCTCTTCTTTTATGGTTGGTTTCGAGTTAGAGAGATTTGGTTTTTGGCTATACAAATTTGGGTTGTTTGATGGATGCATCCATGATCTATTTCCAGAGGAGGGCAAGCAAATGATCTCCACTCGAGTCCCCACCAGAGAAAGATTAGTCGGAAATCAAAGACGATTCTCGGGGTCAAACGGCGGACAAAATACATGCGGGTGGTGGCGATCAAAAGACGCAGGAAAATTGGTTTTGGGCTTTTTCATGGGTTAATTGCAAGGTTGGTAACTGAAAGTATTAAAAAGTTCAATTTTTTTTTTTTTGTTAAGGATGATATAAATTAAAAAGGAAAGTTGCAACAACTCAGAAAGTACACATACATGGAGGTGGGGAACCTAAATGCGAGATTCCCAAAAAAAGAAAAGGAAAAGGAAAGGAGTGAACCCCTGCACAAACATCCCACGATGAGACTGGGTGGAGATGAACTGAAACAGGTCTTGAAGAAGCAAATTGACATAGTAGAACCCCAAGTGCAGAACCGCAGGGATGTTTGCATCCACATTCAGTTGCCCTGCAGCAGACTCTGTCTAGGGGAGGAGATTAACCTGCTTTTCAAAGTTTCCAGCCAGGCCTTGGTCTCTTGCCTGCCAACTTTCTCAGCTGCGGATAACCAGCTTGCGATCGTGCAACCGATTCGATAAGATGTAACACGTGATGATGCAGCAACTCCCTTGAAGATTCGGGTGTTTCTTTCTATCCAGATATTCCAGCAGTAAGCGTGAAGAAAAACTTTGGTGCACCATTGACTAGAGTTTTCCGGCTTTTGACAGTACCAATTGTAGATCCTTGATGCAATGTTGTCACTAGCATTGACCCTGATTTCGGTTTTAACAAATGCGCTCATGATCCGCCAAACTTCCATTGAATAGTTGCAGCTGATAAAGAGATGATTGGGGTTCTCCTCTGCCTTTTCACAAAGAGAGCACCTGCTTGGTAGCTGTATCCCTTTCTTCTTTAAGTTGTCATGAGTGAGGAGTTTCTGGTGAAAGACGATCCATAGGAAGGAACAGATTTTACTTGGAACTGTTGGCTGCCATACTATCTTGTAGGGAAAGTCTTCACTCCCTGAGAACTTCGCTGCTGCAAGATGATCATACGCCGATTTGACGGTAAAACCAGCAGCTGGATCAGGTAGCCACATTAACCTCGCTGGCCCTGCAAGAAAACTGGAAAAAGACAAATTCTCAAGTAAATTCATTAGGCTCACTCTCTCCCTCTCAGCTCCCCCCCTGAGAACAAATTTTAAAGGAATTTCCCACACCAAGTTCTGCTCCTCTCTAGATAGGTAATCCGCCACACGGGAACTCGGAGATTCTGCAGCAGCCATCACACGCGGAAACTTTGTCGCTAGGCATGTACCTTTGATCCAGTGATCGTGCCAGAAGGACGTCCATGAGCCACTACCTTGGTCAATGACAGTCGTTTGCCTGAAAATTGTCAGCAACTTCATTATCTGTGACCAGGGGCTACAACCTGCTCCTCCATTGATCTCTCCTGAAATCCATTCGGACATAGCATTCGGGAACTTCTCTGCAGTAAGCTCTCTCCACCACGTATTTCTTTCCATAGCAAACCTCCATAGCCACTTTAAAATGAGAGCCTGATTGTTGATTTCCAGATCACGAATGCCCAGCCCCCCTCTATGCCTTGCTGTTTTGCATAGCTCCCATGAAACTAGGTGGAATTTTTCCTTATCCTGTGTTCCGGACCAAAGGAAGTCTCTTTGAATATTTTCCAATGATCTGACAATACCTTTTGGGATTAGAAAGAGAGAGGATGTGTATATGTTTTGACTTGCCAATACTGCGTTGATCATCACAATCCTTCCCCCGATAGAGAGAAAATTACCTTTCCAACTCTCGAGCCTTCTCTGCAGTTTGTTGATGATAGGATTCCATATATTAGGTGAAGAAGCAGGGGCTCCCAGTGGTAGTCCGAGATAAGTCGTGGGAAGAAACTCCCAATCACACCCAAATAGCTCAGCCAGCCTGTCCAAGTTATCAACCTCCCCTACCGAAAAAATTCTTGACTTGCCAAGATTAATTCTTAGTCCTGTAATGCTTTGAAAGCATACAAGTGCTGCCAAAACGTTCAAGACCTCTGCCTCATTATCTTCGCAAAAAATGATTGCATCGTCCGCATAAAGAAGGTGAGTCACCGCTCCTCGACGATTTTGCTCATCAAAGCAAAAGCCAGATAGGAAACCTGCTTCACTTAGATTGCATAATATGAAAGACAGGATATTCATCCCTAAGTTGAAGAGGAAAGGTGATAAGGGGTCACCTTGCTTTACACCTTTTTGCATGCCAAAGAAACCCACCGCTTCACCATTAACCAAAACCGAGAGTCTCGAGGAAGTGACCGTTCCCCTGATCCACTTTTGGAACCGTGGATGTAAATTCATGGATTTGAGAACTTCAAACATACAACCCCAGTTGATTGTGTCAAAAGCCTTCTCAATATCTAATTTGATTACCAGGCCGGATTTACCACTCCTTCTACGGCTATCAATCAATTCATTGGCAATGAAACTAGCTTCATGGATGACTCTGCCTTTTTTCCCTGCAAACTGATACTTTGACACTGCATATCTCATAATAGGCTGCAGCCTGTTAAACAGAAGCTTGGATATTATCTTGTTGAGGCTGCCTAGTAGACTAATAGGCCGAAAGTCAAAAAAATCCTCCACCGCATCTTTTTTTGGCAGCAAGCAAATGAATGAGTGAGCAATCGACTGCGGGAGAGATCCGGAAAGATAGAAATCATCCAAAGCCTTGATTAAGTCATGTCTGATGATATGACAAGCTCTTTTATAGAATTCAAGTGTGTACCCATCAGGACCGGGTGCCTTGTCACCATTACATTGTTTCACAGCTCGCCATAACTCAGCCTCCGTGAAGGGTTGTATAAGAGTCTCATTTTGGTCCATTGTGAGGGAAAACGATCTGTAATTCTTTGGGAAGGGTCTGACAGCCTCACCCTCAAGGAATTTGTTTTGGAAGAATGAGACAAAACCAGCCTTTATCTCATTTTCCTCTTCTGATACAATACCATTGATCCTTAGTCTGTTGATCTTGTTTCTCCTTCGGTTATGTTTGGCAACTTTGTGAAAGAAGGGTGTGTTTTTGTCCCCCACCCGAAGCCAAAGCTCACGCGATTTCTGTCTCCAAGCAATCTCCTCCATCAGCAGAAGT